GGAGCAGATCTGCCAGAAGCCGATGTTGCTGATGTGTGTGCGTTTGTGTGTTTGCAGGGCTTCAGAGGGCTGCGAGGAGAAAGGGTGAGTTACTCAGGAATGTAGGAGGAAGCACAAACACTCACATCCTGATAAAGTCTCACAGAAGATTTTTCTTCCACCGCCGCAGGGCGAAGACGGAGAGGACGGGCTGAGCGGAGTGGACGGAGAACAGGTACAGATAACACAGCTTCCTCCTGATCGCCTTCATCGTCAGGTATCTCTGCGATCTGTAGCGTGAGAGATCGCGATGCATAAACAGGAAGGATGATGTCAGCCGGCCTGACAGATAATGGGAAACCTGAGTCACACCAACGACTGAATCTCCGCATTTCTGCTTTCTTTGTTTCTTTTCCCAATAAACTGGTAACTAAACATTACTGAATAATTATTTTAACATCAATGAAATATTTAATAAACATTTGATAAATTATTATGTTGCGTCATAGCTGCTGGAGGCTCAGCGTCCTCTGTTAACCCAAAGTAAAAGGTTCATATGAGCAAAATCGCACCATCGTTTATGTGTCATCAACACCGTTACGTCTCCTTTAGTCTTTCATCCACTCAGCAAGATAAGACCCCCGCTTTTAATTTGAAAGGTCCATTTCTGCGAACGGCTGCCTCTGCAGAGACTCTGGTGTCCAGCTCAAATTCAAATTTTATTTGTCACATGCACAGTCATGCACAGTCATGCACAGTCCGATATGCAGTGAAATGCTTAGCTGTTGGGCTGCAGCTGGTGTTGGTGGTCCAGGTTCGGCAGCACTGGGAGATCTGGTTCCTGAGCTCAGGACTACCAGCTGCAGTCCATCCACAGCTGATGACTGCTCTTATATGTCAGCACTGAGTCAGTGTAGTTTCACGCTCCGCTCGGCTGCCATCACAAACATCATTTACTTCTGAGGCAGATCTTTTTCCAAAGTCTTCCTTTGTTCCCCGGCAGCTGCAAACATCCTGATAACGCTGCAGCGCAGATGAAGTCGGCGAGCTCTCACACAGACGTCAAAGCTCTCTGAAACGGCCCTGCAACACCCAGCATGTCAGCTGCTTTTCCTGCCTCGACGGTCAACTTTCATTTTCATCATGCATCAAATGTTGATCATATTACCGCCACCATAAAAAATTATTAGTAAACAGCCCGAAGAGTCAGCGACAATGATCCAAAGGTTCAGATTTGACTCACTGATGGAGAGACACCGATGAGTTTCTGTCCTCGTCATGGAGGAAACGAGCGGGCGTCTCAGGAAGGGAGCTGATTGGGGGGGTTTCCATGCTTAATGGCATTCCTGTGTTTCTGTGTCGGCAGGGAGTGACGGGAGGGGATGGAGCCCGAGGAGAGAGAGGACACCCCGGCAACCCGGTAAAAGAAAACAAAACTATATGATGTTATTTTAACATCAATACTTTATACAACAATTTTCAAATGAATTCTGAATTTCACTGGAACCAAGGATGAGGCAGCGGTTTGGTTTGCACCGTTGGAGGTTGTTTGGACAAACACATTTAAAAGTGACTCACAGGGATAAAGGTGGGAGAAAAAGTGTGAACTAAAAGGTATTTTATTAACAGTAGAGGTTTGAATTCAAATACTGCACACTTCAAATGTTTGTTCGCGTAACGACCGACCTCCTTAAAGAAACTGTCAGAGCCGAACACGAGACCCTCGGGACTGAGCTGGAGGAAAAGAGAGAGCAGATAGCAGTTAGCCCGCGGCTAACACATGTGATGCTAACAGACCCAGACTGAGCCCTGAGGGATGCCTTAACACGAGCACA